GACAGACGACTACGACCGGCTTGCTCCAGATCTCACACAATCCTACGAGGGTTCAAACCGACTCTAATGTAATCCTGCCAGGGCTCGAACCAACTGTCATAGAATCCTACTGGGGTTCGATCCAGCTATCATGGAATGGCACTGGGGCTGGATCCACCCCTAATAAAGTCTTACGAACGCTCGATCCAACTCTGAGGGATTACCGATAGGACCACCCTACGGGTGATAAGGAGCTTGGGGGCGGGGAATGGGGAGGCGGTCGATTTGCGATGGCTCTGGGTTATTTGGTGGTTTCCTTAACTTCCCCATTGTCGCGCACATCTGCCAATTTATCCATCGACCTATCTATCTAGGTATCTGTTTAGGACAACCGTTTATCAATTTATCAATATACCAATCATACAAATATACAAATGCATCAATCAATCTGCCCATCTATCAATCTAGCAACATATCAATCCTACAAATATATCAACCGATCAGTCTACCAGTCGATCAAACAATCAATCAATCAATCAGTCAATCAATCAAGCACTGTATACATGTCAATGAATACATCTGTCTCTATGGATCTGTATACATATATATATATATATATATATATATGTCTCTCTACCAATACATGTAACAACTTCTATCTCTATATATAGATATATCTGTCTCTATGCATCTATAAATCTACCTACCTATTCATCGATCAGCCATCAGGACAACCATCGGGACAACCATTGTCTATCAACCATCGGGCCAATCATCGTGACAACCATCGGGACATCATCCAACTTCATCTATCGATCTATCGGTCTATCTATCAACCATTGGGACAACCATCGGGACAACCATTGGGACAACCATTGGGACCACCATCGGGGCAACCGTCAGGACAACCCTCGGGGCACCAATCGGGACAACCATCGGGACAACCATCGGGACGACCATCGGGACGACCATCGGGACAACCCTCGGGACAATCATCGGGACAACCATCGGGACAACCATCGGGACATCCATCGGGACAACCATCGGGAAAACCACAACAAACATCGGGACAACCGCTGGGACAACCGGGGGCCACGCCCGCCGCTTGGGGGGCGGCCCTTTCGGCAATAGATGGCCTCTACTATGGGTGGAACTCGCGCAGCTTCGCCTCGCCCGCACGCGCGACACGAACCGAAACCGAAACCGACTTCCCGGTTGGAGTCACTTCCGTTCCAACCCCCCAACCTCTATCTGGGTGATAGACCACCCTACGGGTGATAATAACCCTATCCGGCTCGAGTAGAATCCCGTTCGGCATTGGCTCAGCTCTACTCGGACCCCCGTGGGGCACGACAGGGTTCTCATAGAACCCTGCGAGGGCTCGACCCAGCTTTAAGGAAATCTGGCTGCGGTTAGATCTTGCTCTATTTGAATCCTACCACGGTTCGGTCCAACTCTAATAGCATCCTACTACGGCTCGATCCAGCTGTATTAACACCCTCCTGGGGCTCGAGCCAACTCTAATAAAATTCTAATATCGCTGGATCAAGCTCTAACAGAATCCTACTGGGGATCGGTCCAGCTCGAATAGAATCCTGAAATGGTTAGGTCCAGCTCGAATAGAATCCGAGTGGAACTGGATCCATTTCGAATAGAACCCTGCAAGTGCTCGGTCCAGCTCCGATGAAATCCTACTGCGGCTCGATCCATCTCTTGTAGAACTATCAGGGCTGGGTCAGCTACTACGTTTCGATACGGCTCTGATAAGATCTGATTCGGGCTTGATCCAGCCCTAACAGACTCTTTCTAGGGCAGGATCCAGATCTACTGGGATCCTACTCGGGCTGTAGCCAACTCTGAGACTCTGAGTGATGATGCCTACAAAGGTTGATCCAAGCCCATTCGGATCCTACTACGACTCGGCCCAGCTTTAACAGCATCCTACTCGGGCTCGATCGTCCTCGTCGTCGTCGTCCTGGTCGCCGCCGCCGTCGCCGTCGCCGCGGTCGCCGCCGCCGCCGCCGCCGCCGCCGCCGCCGCCGTCGTCGTCGTCGTCGTCGTCGTCGCTGCCCGACGGCGCCAGCGCGGGCGCCAGCGCTCGCCGTCGTCGTTTGCCATTGGGGAGAGACGGGGGGGAACCCCCACCCCCGCAATCAAACCCCCAGTTCGCCAGTTCGAACCCCCACCCCCGCAATCAAAGGTGCGCGGCTCCTCTCCCGGTTCGGACCCCCCTTGGAAGGGTTATCAAGGTCTACACCGGCCAATTAGACATTACACCTGCCAAACCGTGTCTACACCGGCCGCGCGGTTTCACCAGCCAAGTGGGCCTTTCACCGGCCAGAGGCGTTAAACGAAACAATACGTAGTGCTCGTTATCGTGAGGCGGGGAATGCTTGAGTACACAGAAAGCTGTACATTGGAATTCGGCAATTTCATTGATTTCACTTTTGACTAGCCGGTGTAATGACCTACCTGGCCGGTGCAGTGACTACTGTGGGTCTCAGGTGAGGGAATTGATGATGCTGGTGGTGGAGATGACGATGGCGATGACGATGGCGATGACGATGACGATGGCGATGGCGATGGCGACGACGACGATGATAATGATGATGATGATGATGATGATGATGATGACACTCATGATTATATGATGATGATGTGATGATGGTGTTGGTGATGATGATGCTGATGGTGATAATGATGATGATAATGAGGATACTGAGAATGCTGAGGATGATGGTGATAATGACGATGATGCTGATGATGGTGATTATGATGATGATGACGATGATGGAGATGATAATGGTAATGACGATGATGATGCTGGTGATGATGATACTGATGATGACGATGATGATGATAGTGGTGGTGATGATGATGGTAATGATGATGAAGATCATGATGATGACCATCATGGTGCTCATGATGATGAGGATGACGAGTATAGTGATGGTGATGATGATGATCAGCATGATGATGCTGCTGATGGTGATTATGATGATGACGATGATGACCATAATGGTGTTCATGATAATGATAATGACGAGTATGGTGATATTGATGGTGGTGATGGTAATGCTAATGATAATGACTGTAATGATGATGATGATGCTGATGATGATGGCAATGATAATGCTGCTGATGCTGATGATGACGCTGATGTTGATGCTGATGATGATGCTGATGATGATGATGACGATGATGATGATGATGATAATGATGATGATGATGAGAAAACCTCCAGATTGAAGGAGGGTGAGGACGGGAAGGAGCAATGATAGGAAGAGGAGAATGGAGAGGTGGGAGAAGGAGGAAAAGGTTGAAGAAAGGAGGAGGAGAAGGAGGAGGGCCAGGAGGAAGACGAGTAGGAGGAGGAGGAAGAGGAGGAAGAGGAGGTAGGAGGTAGGAGGGTTCCCTTCAAATGACCTTTCAGGGTTCCGTGGTTGACCTTTCAGGATCACTCAGGTGATCCTTGAGGATCCCTCAGATCTTGCAGGATGCCTTAGTTGATCCTGCAGACTCCCTTAGTTGAGCTCTTCAGGGTTCCCCATTGAAGTGTTGACGGAACATGAGACGCGGTTCTGCGGAACCTCGGGAGCGCGCTCTCAAACAACAGGTGAAAGCACCATTCCGCCGGTGACAGGTGTAATTTCGGAGTGGGTGAGCGAAGGTGGCTGGTGTAGATACGGTTCTGCCAGTGAAAGGTCGACTTCGCCAGTGTAGACCTTTTTATCCCTCGAGGGGGCCTCTCCCCGGTTCGACCCTCCCCGGCCTCGAGGGGGCCGCAATTCAGGGCCCCCCCCTCCCCGGTTCGAACCCCTCCCCCCCTCCCAGCGTCCACAGAACACGCTCTGTCGGACATATCAAGCCCTCTTTTTTGGGGGCCACAGAGAAAGAAATCATATGCTTCGCGTCGAAGAAGCTGCGTTACCCAGATGGCGCCACGAAGTGCATCCCGAAATGCTCGGCGCGATGCTGCACGAAACCTGTGCCGATCTTGAAGGGCATCACACGCGTGCCAGCTCGCGTGAGGCGGCCTACAAAGTCAGGCAGAGACTTCTCCGCGGCCATTCGAGCGAAAAGTCGATCGACAAATCGGCGGACATCTCGGGTAAAAGTTCTGGCGCCAATTCGGGCAGCACTGCGGTCAACATAGCACGGACGATACGAGATCGCGATCTCCATCATCATCCTCATCGTTCCCATCATCATCTTCATCATCACCACCAAGACGCATGGATCTCCGCGCCCACGACCAACCCGGTTTGAATATCAATTCGGACCTATATCAGCCGACAACACCGAATCGGGCAGGCGCTTGCTTCGGCATCCGGGGACAAAAGAGCTGCGACATAAAGCACCGCAACGATTGAACATCGAGATTACACGCTGTCTGGGATCCACGCTAACAGAAGTGTGCCGCTGAATGGTCAAACTTAAATGCCATATTACAAACATAATGTGTTCTTGCAACCACCTTCCCGTCGCTCACGGGTTCCTTTTTTCACCAGGTGGCTGAGGAACCTGGAATCATGAAAGTATCATGGGTGCACATGCGTGGCGCAGAGGGACAAGAACGGTGAAAGCTCGGCGTTTTGCATGTAACTCTGTCGCGTTCGGCTGCGTGCAGCAGGTTCAGATCCAATTTAGTCACGCCTCTGTGATCGGCTCCCATCCTCTTCCTCCTCATCCCCCTCCCCATGCTCCCTCTCCTGCTAGCCCCCTTCTCCTCCTCCTACTCCTCGTCCTCCTCCTTCTCCTCCTCCTCCTTCTCCTCCTTCTCCTCCTCCTGCCCCCTCTTACTACTCTTTCTCCTCACTTTTACCTGATCCCTCCTGAGCGCCTTGTTCATGGCAAGGGGCCAGAATCAAATCGCCAACCCCAACGCTTGGCGAGAATCGTCAGCAGGCTATCGCGGGCAAGAGCGAGGCTCAGGCCGAGACTGCGCGAGGGGATTGGAGTGGAGGCGCAGCATAGACGCCAACACCGCTGACCGTGGGCTGGACATGATTCAAAGCTGCTCAGGCCTGGAGGACAGTCCCCTTGGACCGCAGCGTCTCGTACTCCGCATCCTTCGGCAAGAAGGAGAAAACATCTCGGGGGACGCCCTTCAGAAACACCTGTTTCTTCTGGCTTATGAAAAGGTCCCTCATCTGATTGATTGCGTTAACTCCCGAAATGTCCAATATCCGACACTTGGAAAAATCCAACACGACCCTGCTCTCTGTGATCAGCTGCGGGCTCATCTCGTTTTGGTAATTCTTGGCTGAACCGAAAAAGAGAGGCCCGATGAGGTGAAATGTTCGCGTATCGACGCCGGCCTCTGTCTCCACCCTAGCCTCCGTGGCGATGGCCCATGCAAACCCTAGGCCATTGACAATGACGCCGACTAGCACAGCAACGGCAACGTCATACCACAATGTCATCAGCATCACGACGATCACGACCACTGAATCAGTCCAATTGACCTTCAAGAACAGCTTGAACGTCCCCCAGGCGAAAGTGTTGACGGCGATCAGGATGAGAACTCCAATGACCCCGGCCACGGGGATGATCTCAACCAGTGGAGCTAATACCGTAGCACAGAGCATGAGCGTGAAGCCCGCTGTCACGCCAGATGACAAGGGGGCCAAACAGGCACACCTGCCCCACTCGGCCCAGCTCTGGCCCCACCTTCTCGTCCGCGCCTCGCGTGCGGGAGCAGGGCCCCGAAGGAAACGGATCCTGGACCCTGGTGCTTTCCCGCGGCTGGGGACGAGGCCCGGGAGGCCGACGACGGCGAAACGGATCAGGAACCCCTTCCCTCAGGACTCTTTTCTTCACGGCGACTACAGAATCTCTGCCGGCTCCCCCGCCTCCGTCCTCCGCCCCGGCAGCCGAGTGAGGTACAGGGTGCGCTTTCTGCCCCCCGGATAGGCGACCCCTCCCGCCGCTGCTGACGTTCAACAGTGAGGGCCCGAGCAAGGCGCAGCCACCCTGCGTGCCGAAGAGCGAAGCCAGGATGCACAGGAGACCCTCATCCATCCATCAGTCCCCTGCTGACCCCCCCACTGCAAAGTGCAGACTCAATGCGCTCTGGCAGGGCAGGGACCCTAGGACAGGCCAGCCTCTGGACGGGGGTCTGGAGCTTTCACAGACCCAGGCGAGCCTGGCCATTCAGTTCGCTCTTCGGACGGGGGGCTTGAAGCTGGTGTAAGGCACTGCTGCGTTCACGGAGCCTTGGGAGGCTTGCTTGGATTATCCTGGATTATCCCCCGCTCCACCCCCAGCGCCCCCTGCGCCTGTCCCCCGAGGGGGCGAGGGCGGAGATGGGGGTGGAGGGGGAGGGCGGCGGTGCAGCTGGACTGGTGTCGTCGGCGAGAGAAGGGGGACAGCTTTTTGTGGTGTCTTTCTTTTCCCCGGCGCTATTTTGGAGGGGAGGAGGGGGAGCGGACACGTCAGCACGATGACACGCTCGGCGACGCAAGCGTGCAGCCCAGTGAGCTCTGCAGCCAGTGAGGGGGGAAGCGAGAAGGAGAAGGATTTTTGAGAAGACGGCGGGACTTCTCGGAAGCCCTTGCGCCTTCTGAGAAAGCCCTCTGTGTCTTCGGGGAAAGTTCAGAAAAATTCTGAGAAGGCTGGGGGCCTTCCGAATATTCTGAGAAGGCCTCCTCCTTCTCACTTTCCCCCAAGGCTTGCCCGCCGATGGTGGGTGTGACGTGGGTCTCCAGGATGTTCCCGGCGCCCTGTGCGAAGCACTCGCGCCTCATAGAGCCACTGGTGCCAGTGATCTGGTCGACGAGGGCTTGTGTCATGAGGCTCTCCAGCAGGCCAACGAGCGCGAGGTGGAAGGACAGGGTGAACGCCTGTCAAAGACATGCATGTGTGTACATATATATATATACATACATACATACATACATACATACATACATACATACATACATACATACATACACCTATATAAAAGACTGCAGTGGCGCTTCGCGCCATGCACCTTGGTCCTTGAAGTTTGGTATGCAAGCGGAATAGCAGGAAGGTCAAGCCGACAATTTAGCGATAACTCCTTGTTGCCTTTTCTGGCATCGCCGCTAAAATAATGTTAGTTGTTATCCTTCCTCCATGCTTATTTTTCCTCATTTTCGCCATGCCCTGCGCATTCTCCCCATCCTCCTCGGCTCTTTTTGCGGAGGCTCCTCCTTGGAGAGCCTCTGGGGGCCTCGTAAAATTTATGTCAAGCTTTCGTAAGGCCTTCTGGAGGCCTCTTGGGCGTGTTCTGGGGGCCTCTGGGGACTTCCTCGGGTCGCCCTGCCTCCAACCGCTGTCTCCCTGAACGACCGGGTCACGATTTGGAATGCTTTGGAGGGTGTTTTGGGGCCATCTTGGGCCGCCATGGGGCTCTCTGAGGGCCATCTTGGACCCCTGTTGTGTCGTTTTGGGGCTCTCTGGGACTGCCTGGAAGCCCTTTGGAATGGTTATGGGGCGATTGTAGAACCTCCCAGGCGGCTTCGAACGCCCAGAAGACCGCCGTCTTCGAGCGTCGGGAAGCCCAAAAGAGGAGAACCCCAAAATTCACCAAAAAACAATAGAAAATCAATGATTTGTGCCTCTTGGGGCCTTCTTGGGAGTGCTCTTGGAGGCCTCTTGGGGCGTTTCGGGGCGATCTTTGGGGATCTGATGGCTTCTTGGGGGACGTCTTGAGGTCACGTCGGTCACTCTTGGAGCGCTCTTGTGCTGTCTTCGAAGTCTCTGGGGCGTCTCCGATGACCCCCCCGATCGCCCTAGGCGTGCTGGGAAGGACTGGCAAAACGCCCTGCGAGGCCCGGCGGGCCGCTTCGAGGCCCGTCCGGAGGGCCCCAAAGCCCCAGATCCCGGGAGCCCGTTTTTTTTGGCTGGGACGGGTTTCCCCCCCGCCCGGGCTTGTAAAATATAGGAAGAGGAATATATATATATATATATATATATATATATACATATACATATATATATATGTGTGTGTGAGTGCGCGCACCACCCAAGATTTCCCATTGAAAAAACAACTAGTTTCTGCGTTGTCGCCTTCATCCCCCCACTTCCCGTATTTTCCTATATTTTCCGGGAATCGACGGTGAATTGTGTCTGTGTGTTCCCCCTTCTGGACCTGGAATATCAGGCCATGGTTGTCCCACTCCATTCCGACTGGTGGGAAATCCCACTTGGGGATCTTGCCGAATCCTATCTCCAGCATGCCCGAGCCGGCAACGTCGCCGATGGTCGTGGTCGGCACAACGAAGCTGAAGAGAGTGGTGATGGCGAGAGCAGCGAGTGCCGCGGGTATGGCCTTGCCGCCACCAGGCACCTTCTTCCAGGCCACGGCCACCGACATGGAAACGCCGACGGCCACCATCATCCCGACGAACGTGCTGTAGCTGACCCAGTCTCCGTCAGCGTACTCATGAAAGTGACGGAGCTGAGAGCGGAGCATGACAAGAGCGAGGCCGTTAACAAATCCGATCATCACAGGGTGCGGGATCAGAGTCATGAGCCTCGAGACTCGCAGCGAGCCGAGGAATATCTGCATGGCCCCCGCGCCGAACACGCAGAGCGCCATCGGCGCCAGGCCACCCATGTTGTACGATGTGGAGATGTTGGCCAGAACCGTGGCAGTCCCGACCGAGACGCCCGAGACCTGGGAAGTACCACCCCTGTCGAGGCTGACCCCCTCGGGGCGGACGATCAAGAGAGCGACAGCAAAGGCTCGAGTAGGGAATCGACTACAGAATCGATTCACCCCAATATTGATTTCCCGACGAATCTACGAAACATGCTCACAGTGTTCCGTAGATCTACTGACGACTCTACCTACCTGTCTCCTGGGCTCGACGAGAAAGCCGTTCATGGCGTAAACCGATTCTGTAGTCGATCCCCTACTCGATCGAAAGGCGGGATTGGCGAGCCGGCCGTGAGCAGCTGCCCCTTTCTCCGAGGCGCCGCGAGGCTGCCCCCATGGATCTCGAGGTGTGCCCGCCGGCGGGGCCGAAACCGCCTGCACGATGCGTTCGATGTTCGCACCGCCTTCGCTTTCTTCTTTTCTCTTTCTTCCTCCTCCTCTCTCTCCTCCTCCTCCTCCTCCTCCTCCTCCTCCTCCTCCTCCTCCTCCTCCTCTTCTCCTCCTCCTCCTCCTCCTCCTCTCCTCCTCCTCCTCCTCCTGCGTCGTCTTCTTCTTCTGCTTTGTCTTCTTCTTTTTTCTGCTTGTTGTTATTGTTATTCCCCCTCCTCCTCCTCCTCCTTCTTCGCTCGCAGCTCGATGTCCCGTTGGACGAATCCTCCTCCTCCTCCTCCTCCTCCTTCTCCTCCTCCCTTCTCTCACGCAACGATGCCTGAACGCATATTTTCCCAGCTCCAGTCCGTGCCCTGCATGGCGGCCGAACCCTGTTCGATCGGACTGGAACCTCACGAAACGTACCTGCGCCCTGTCCCACCCCATACATCCGCCAATCGGCGGCGCCGATTGGATCTTGTTGTTCAGTCCGCAGCCTCAGCGCTCCAGACCTCTCCCCCAGGGGTGGTTTTGCGTCCGGGATCCGTTTTTGAGAGCCCCCGGGCCCGATAACGGGCCCTGGCGGGATTGAAAAAATCAGATCCTCGGATCTCTGGGACCGTCCCTTCCAAGACACGCGTGCGTGGTGAAAAACAGCGGCGGGAGGTTTGCGGCCGCTCTCGGCTTCCAGGGGCCCTCGCCGGGCCCCGAGACCGTCAACAAAACGACTCGGGATGGAAACCTAGCCACTGGGAAAGGTCAATTCTATCTTATTTGTGGACCTAGATATACACATTTGTGAATCTATATATATATATAATGTGGAATCTATAGATTAGAACCACGCGCGCGCTTCGCGCGCTTAGGTTCTATCTAGCCCAGCCCATGGCGCTGCCCCCATCATGGCCCGCCCATCGCCCTCCCTACTGTCCTTTTCTTCGTCTTCATCTTTCTCTTCCACGCATCCTCGCCCATCCTCCCCCTGCCCTCCTCTCTCCAACTCCTGCCTCCCCCTCCCATTTCCTCTTGCGAGCGGCTTCATATTACTGGACGATCATGCGGCGCTCTTCGGGCTCTCATGGGGCGCTACCGTGCCTCTTTTGGCCTCTCTTGTGGAATCTCTTTGGGGCTGTTCAGCTGGGACGCTCTGAGGCCGTCTTGGGGTTGGGCCGTCCTGGACCCACGAGGCCGTCTGTTGGGCCTCTTAGGGCCGTCTTGGCGCTCTCTTGGCGCCCTCTCGGGCCGTCCTGGGGCACTCGTGGGACTATTCGGGGCCGTCTCGTGGCCGTCTTGGGCAGGGTTGGGGCCAGCTGGGGGCTCTCATGAGGCGTTCTGGACCCGTCTTGGTGTTGGGAGCCTCCTGGGTCGAGGACGCGGTGGGAATACACTTGTATATATATATATATATATGTGTGTGTGTGCAAGACTGCATGGCGCTTCGCGCCATGCGCCTTGGTCCTTGAAGTTCGGCATGCAGGCGGAAGGGCAGCAAGGTGAAAAACACAATTTAGCGATGATTCCTTGTTGCCTATGTCCGACATCGCCGTTGTAGTAATGTTATCAACTGTTCTTCCTTCATGTTTCCTTCTCCTCATTCTCGCCCTATACCCTGCGAATTCTTCCCCATCCTCCGCATCTCTTCTTGCGGAGACTCCTCCTTGGAGAGCCTCTTGGGGCCCCACGGAAGTTTTGCAGCTTTCTTGGGGCCTTCTGGAGGCCTCCTGGGCACCTTCTGGGGGCCCCTGGAGGCTTCCTCAAGCCACCCTGCTTCCAACCGCGGTCTCCCTGAACGACCGGTCACGGCTTGGAATGCTTCGGGGGATGTCTTCGCGCCATCTTGGGCCGTCATGGGACTCTCTTCGGGTCATCTTGGAACCCTGTTGTGCCGTTTTGGGGCTTTCTTGGACTGCCTGAAAGCCCTTTCGGACGGTTGCCGGCCGGTTTTCGGGCCTCCCAAGCGGTCCCGGACGCCCAGATCGAAGAACAGGGCATTCCCAGAATCATACGCAAACCGTAGAAAATCAATGCTTTTCTGCGTTTTGAAAGCCTCTTGGGGGTCTTCTTTGGGTCGTCTTCGGGCGTCTGGTGGCTGTCTGGGGCCTCTTGGGGCCCTCGAGGGGGCCTTCGGCCGCCCTCCTGACCGATTTGGGCCCGTTGCCTAGGCGCAGCAGGAGATTCAAGGAGCATGGAAAGTGTGGAGGGCCTCCTGCAGGGGAGTCCAGGGGGACCCCGGGCCCTGGATCCAGGGGGTCTCGTTTCGAGGGGGGGTGGGCAGGGTTCCGCGGGGTCCCGATTTATTGAAGTATATTACAAGACATATAGATGTGTGTGCGTCGCGCGCGCACACACAACACACACAACACACAACACACACACACACACATGTGCGCGTAAGTACATACACAATCGCTCACTTGTACAATCCGCGCGCTTCACGCGCGGGCTTCGTAGCACAGGACAAGGCAACGTAACGCATGCCGGACACAATGAGAAGTGCTGCGGCGGTGCTGCTGCGTGGTCTTTGTTGCTGCTGATGCTGCTTGCTATCATTTGTGACTAGTTGCTTCCTGCTGCGCAATGTTGCTGGTGCGTGCTGCCGATTGCTGCTGTCTTCTGCCGCTTGGGCATGTCTTGGGACATCTGGTGCGCCTTGTGGGGCCCTCCAAGGCCGGCAGGGGGCTCTCGTGGGGCCTCTGGAGCCGTCAGACGGTTTCCAAGAGGTATCTTAGGGTCTTCTTGACCCGTCTGGGGGCGCATGGGATCGCATTGGGAGCTCTCTGGGGCCGTGCGAGCGCCGAGGTTCATTCTGGGTTCTCGTGAAATCCTGTTGGATCCCCTTGGGCCCTCCTGCCGACCCTCTTGGGCTCTACTGGAACCCTCTGTGGGTACAGTCGGGCCGTTCTAGGCTGTATTCGTGGCTCCCCTGGGCTCCCTGAATAGAAGCCACACGCGTGCATCTGCAATCAAAACGCAAAGAGCCCAGGACTTGCAGTTCAGGCCTCCAGCAAGGAGTCACTAGTCACCGAACGCAAGGGGCTGTCACAAGGTCCACAGTGTCACGCTTGCGGGCGTCTGCGCATGCTGGGCCTGAACCATTTTAAAATAGTCGCGTCGAGAGATCCTGCGGAGCGCTGGATGGCGCAGCACGGCACAACCTCCTTATACACATATACATATATGGATACGTGTGCGTGTGCGTGTGCGTGTGCGTGTGTGTATGTGTATGTGTATGTGTATGCGTGTGCGTGTGTGAGGGTGTGCGGGTGCGAGTGCGGGTGCGGGTGTGCGTGTGTGCGTGTGTGGTGTGTGTGTGTTTGTGTTTGTGTTTGTGTATGTGTTTGTGCTTGTGTTTGGGTTTGTGTTTGTGTTTGTGTTTGTGTTTGTGTGTCTGTCTGCGTGCGTGCGTGCGTGCGTGCGTGCGTGCGTGCGTGTGTGTGTGTGTGTGTCTGTGTGTGTGAAAGAGCGCGCTTGTGGCGCACTTCTCGCTCCCTTGGAAAAGGAGGGGGGGCTTCCGAAGCTACCCCCTCCCTCCCTTTTGAAGACATGTTTTGCCAGGGGGACCCTAGATAAAGGAGGGGAGTGCTTGGAAGCTGGCTCTCCCCTCCTCCCCTTGTCGGGGCCGTGGGGTCAGCCGGGCTCCCCTTTCAAGGGGGGAGGGGCTTCCGAAGCTCCCCCCCCGCCCCGTCCTTTTGTTTAAATTTGTAGCTGGGGGGTCCCTGGCCAAAGGGGGCGGGGGCTTGGAAGCTACCCACCCCTTCTTTTCGGGGCGCTGGGCAAGCCCAGGCTCCCCTTTCCAACGGGGGGGGCGCTTCCGAGCTACCCCCCCCGTCCCCTCCTGTTGGCTTTTCCAGCCGGAGGGCCCTGGCTGAAGGGGGATTTCGAAGCTGCTCTTCTTCTTTGGTTTTCGGCGCCCCCTTGGTCTTTGGCGCCCCCTTGGTTTTCAATGTCTCTTTGGTTTTCGGCGCCTCTTTGGTTTTCGGCGCGTCTTGGGCCTTTGGCGCTTCCTTGGTTTTCGGCGCTCCTGTGGTTTTCGGCGCTCATGTGGTTTTTGGCGGTCCTTTGGTTTTCGGCGCCTTTTTGGCTTTATGCGTACCCTTTCGGCGCATCGTTGGTTTTCGGCGCCCTCTTGGGTTCTGGCGCTCCTTTGGTTTTCAGCGCCCTCTTGGTTTTCGGCGCCCTTTTGGTTTTCGGCGCCTCTTCAGTTTTCGGCGCCGTTTTGGTTTCGGTGCTCTTTGTTTTTCGGCGCCCCTTTGGTTTTGGGCGCCCTTCGGCTATGTGCGCGCCTTTCGTTTTTGGCGCCCGTTGGTTTTCGACGCCCTTTTGATCGTCGGCGCGTCTTCAGTTGTTCGGCGTTCTTTTGGCTTTCGGCGCATCGCTGGTTTTCGGCGCTCCTTTGGTTTGTTTTGGCGCCCCTTTGGTTTTCAGCACTCCTACGGTTTTTAGCGCCCCTTTGATTTTCGGCGCCCTTTTTATTTTCGGCGCCCTGTCCGTCTTCGGAGCTTCTGTTGTTTTCGGCGTCCCTTTCGTTTTCGGCGCCCACTTGGTTATCGGCGCCACTTTGGTTTTTCGGTGCCCTTTCGGTTTTCGGCGCGTCGTTAATTTTCGGCGTTTCTTTTGGTTTTCGGCGCCCCTTTGGTGTTCGGCGCCCC